TTTTCGGCAGTCCGTCGGCCAAGTAGTGGGTAGGCTCTCTTAGAGGTTCTGGGCGCGCACTAAGTGGTTAGAGGAACAACTGTTCCATTCGTATCTTGGACGCCCACATGGGGCCGTACAGTGTAAAACAACACGCGTGCCACCCCGAAAACTGCGTGAGAGAACCATTTGTTCACTCGTATGATGGAAGCATTGGGCCATACAGTGTGAAACAGCACACGGGTGACACGTGTCACCCCGAAAACCGTGTGAGAACATACCATTTTTTAATTTGTAATGTGGTCGCCACGCCCAGTCGTAGCAACGACGACGACGACGACGACGACGACGACGAACGCCGCGCTGTGGATGCACCATTGGGACGGGGTGGGTGCTGCGTGGGCCCGCCGCCGTATTAACGACGCGACGACGACGATGAACAGCAACGAACGCCGCGCTGCGGACGCACCAACGGGGGGGGGGGGTGCTGCGTGGGCCCGCCTTAACAACGACGCGCGACGATGACGACGTCGACGACGACGACGACGAACATCAACGAACGCCGCGCTACGGATGCACCATTAAAAGGGGGCGACGACGACGACGACGACGACGAACATCCGCGCTGCGGATCCACCATAGGGGGGGGGTTCTGCGCGGGCGCGCCTTAACAACGACGACGCGCGACGACGACGACTGACGACTGACGACTGATGACTGACGACTGACGACGACGACGACGAACGACGACGACGACGAACGACGACGAACGACGACGACCTGTCCAGCTGTTTGCATAGGGCACTCAACTAGGAGGACCTGGGAGGTGGGAGGTGGGAGGAAGCCCAGGGAATTGGGAGTAGGCGGGGGGAGGTACGGAGAGGCGGGGGGGGGGGATGGGGGAAGGTGGGAGGAGGTGGGAAGAGGAGGGGGAGGAGGAGGAGGAGGAGGAGGAGGAGGAGGAGGAGGATGAGAGGAGGAGGAGGAGGAGGAGGAGGAGGAGGAGAGGAGGAGGAGGGAGGAGGAGGAGGAGGAGGAGGAGGAGGAGGAGGAGGAGGAGGAGGAGGAGAGGGAGGAGGAGGAGAAGTAGGAGGCAGCACGAGGTAGGAGGAGATGGGAGGACGTGGGAAGAGGTGGGAGGACGTTGGAAGACTCGGGGCGGGGGGGGGGAGCACGGCGGAAGAGGCGGGTAAGGAGGTGCGCATTCAACACACACACACACACACACACACAGCGCGCGGCGCGTGCGTGCCCACGTCGGCCGCCAGGGCGCCCAGGGCCGCAGGACTCAGCTCCGCGTCCGTGCCTGCACGGCAGAGGCGTGTTAGAGTGCTCGGGAGCGGAAGAGAGGGGGGTGATGACTAGGGAGGGGGGGATATCATGGCGGGGGCCACGATATTTCCCCAGATTTCGTGGAGCCTCTTCTTGTGTCATTACGTCCCTGGCCCCCCCCGCTGGGCCGCGCACATGCCGCCGGTCATGATTTGCACCCCCCCCTCCTGGACACCCCCCTCTTGGCCGCTCCCGAAATGCCTGTGAGCTGTCTTGTGGTGTTTCTGTGAAGTTTCTCAGGGTCACCCCCTTCCTCACGCCGGGCTGCGTGCGCCGCGCCCCCTTCCCGAAGCCCTGCCAGCGCCGAGGCATGCCCCTGGCGCCCTCCGAGGAGTCCAAGATGGCGGCCAACATGGCCCAAGCAGGCCAAGATGGCCCAATACCGATTCAAGATGATACAAGATGCAAGACGACCTTCGAAAACTGCTCAAGCGGCTCCCAAGACGGCCCGAAACGGTTCCGTAGCCATTTTGGCTCAAGGAAGCTGTCCAAGGTCCACGATTATAAAACCATTTCACATCCAGACACATTGAGATTTTGGCGATGACGCGGATGGCCGCTGTCTTGATTCCGCTCGCTGCGTTGGGGGCCGCCGCGATCAGCCTGACGGCGAGCGCCGTGTGCAAGACTGCAGTGGATTGCTCCTTGGGCGGCAAGGGCGTAGAGGGCAGTTGCCACTGCTAGCCCATATGGCAGGGGGCTACGTGCGAGATGCTGGCCGTCGGAGAGGCGAGCAACGTTTAGCACCAGCGGGTACCGCAACCCGGAGGGGGCCAGCTGGGGGGGAGCGTCATCCGTGCCGACGACGGGTCCTACCACATGTTCGTATCATTCGTCAGTCGGGATTGCGGTCTGAACAGCTGGAAGTTCAATTCGGTGATCCACCACGCTGTCTCTGCGAACCCGGACGGACCATACAGCTTCAAGGATGAGGTGCTCTCCGAGTTTGCCCACAACCCGACAATCACCAGAGCACCTGATGGGACATACCTGCTCTACCACATCGGAGAGACCCTCTCCGCTGACGAGCGCTCGCTCTACCTGAGGGACTGCAGGAACGGGCGACATGCTGGACCTAAGCGGTCGGCCAACAGCGGGGGCCCCGCGAATTTCGACGGCCGCATCCGCATCGCTTTCTCCAAGTCGCTCGACGGGCCTTGGAACCTTCTGAACGATGGCAAGCCGATCATGCGGCCCCGAGGGGGCAAGCACTGGGACACGGCTGTCACGAACCCAGCCCCGCTCATGCTCAAGAATGTTTCGGTGTTTCTGCATTACCGCGGAGAGGACCGCTTCCATCCCGATTTCACAGGCAAGCGCCATCGCAAGATCGGAGCATTTTTCGCCCAGTCATGGAGAGGCCCATACCACCGCATCCGCGACACTCCGATCACGCCCAGCGGGGAGGATCCAGTCGTGTTCGCGAACTCCGACGGCTCTGGCTACCACATGATCTTCGAGAACAAGTTCAAGGGGATTGTGGGCCAGCACGCGTTCTCCGTCGACGGGAAGTTCTGGCAAACCGTCGAGGACCCGGCGTACGACCTGCTTGCGAGCTGGGACGGTGGATCCAGCACCAAGCAGGAGCGCCGCGAACGGCCCCAGCTTCTGCTCGACGAGCACGGGGAACCGCTCTACTTGTTCAACGCCGTGCAGGGCTCCCGGAGCCGTGGGGAGGGCCGCGGTGCTGTCCAGAGCACCTGGACAATGGCAGCGCCGCTCGGCTTTCGGCTCCCGACGGCCTCCGGCACCCCGCCGCGGCGCCGGGAGATCGAGACGGCCACAGAGTAGAGTGCCTTTCTCAAAGAAAGGCTAGCTGTAAACATAAACTTCTGGCGCTCCGCGCGGATTTTTGTTCGTTCCGCGCCTGGGCCCTCCCGGCGGCGCCTCCGGCGCCGCCCCTGCGCGCCAGGGAGGGGGGTCCCAGGGCGGATCCAAGAAATCCGCGCGGAGCCACAAGAGTTTATGTTCATGTGCTTTGTTTTTTTTCTACTCTCGCCTCCCCCCGCTTAACCAACCTAGTCTCCCTTCGGCATGGACTGCTGTTATGACCAGTAGACTGCCTGCTGTTATTGCCAAGGACTGTATTAAGTGGACGCCTGCTGTTATGACCAGTAGACTGTTTGGGTTGCTGCTGCGCGCAGGGCAGAGCTGCAGGTATCGCTTTAGCAGGCAGTGCAGCGCTGCTCGTGTTTTAAGGACGTGCCGAGTCTAATCTCGTCTCCCGTGAGCGAAAAATTGGAACAAAAAAAAGACGGCCCGAAACGGTTCCAAGAGAGCGTCCAGGAAGGAATCCTCCAGGATGGAGGGTTGGAGGAAACCTCCAGAAACCAACAGAATCCGTCAGGACCCTTGGGATTCCTGGTGGGTCCTGGGCAACGCAGGGGGGTATGCCTCCAATTTTGGGGTACGGCCGCAATTCGAAATTGTTATTCTTCTGGGCGCCTGCGGCGGAGCTTGGAGGAATGGAGGGTCGGAATTTGCGATACAAATTCGAACGAACCTGGTCGATTTACGCGAGCGCCAACTATTGTCCAACAGTGCCAAAACACCACTGTCGGGATCTCACCGCCGCGATTCAGCCTTGGTGTTACGTCGGGACGGTCCCGAGTCGTGCCAGAACGCCGTTCCTGGGACGCCAACGCCGCGTACCAACCTGAGCATCGCGCCCTGACATCCAAATGAGTTGTGATGACAAAAAAGACGAAGCCCCACAACAGGACACATCCTGAAGTGCAAATGCTCAGATGGCGAACCACCGCTCTCGGACAGACTTTAAACGACACTCATTGTTGACACAATTAATGGATTGCGCGCTTGCGTCTACAGACGCCGCGCGTTACCACATATTTCAGGCGAGGAGCTCCCCTGAAGACAAACTGTCACATCCTCCCCGACCTCATCTTTGAGATCCTCTCACTGACACTGTTGAGACAAATAATCATACATGTTTTTCTGTCTTCCTTGGGGCCAGGAAAATGCAAAAGCGGTCCCGACTGTAAATTGGAGCATTGGTCAGTTCTTAAGTTGACGAGCTGTGGCTTCGGAGAGCCATGTTCGCGGCGCTCACCTACAATTCTGCTCGGGTGCGGCTGCACCGAGACGTCCGCGAGCTTTCTGCTCCCTCCCGCCTCTGCCCCTTTCCTCCCCCCCCCATCCTCTCTCGCTCCTCAGTCCACCCTGCGATGAGGAGGAGGAGGAGGAGGAGGAGGAGGAGGAGGAGGAGGAGGAGGAGGGGGAGGGAGAGGACGAGGAAGAGGATGACGAGGAAGAGGAGAACGAGGAACAGGAGGAGGACGAGGAGGACGAGGACGAGGAGGAGGAGGAGGCCTTGGCCGCGGGGGGAGGGGGTCCGCCCTCGTCGTTACGGCTGGACCCGGCTCGGAAACTTTGGTCGAGAGCGGCCTCGGGGCGGATCGGCCAAGGGCGGATCGGGAGGAGGAGGAGGAGGAGGAGGAGGAGGAGGAGGAGGAGGAGGAGGAGGAGGAGGAGGAGAAGGAGGAGGGGTCGTTTTCGCCGTCCCCCTCGTGCTGCCTCGGTGGGGCGACCCTGGCCGGAGGTGGATCGGGGGGATGGGGGGGAGACTTGACCTCTAGAGCTCGTGGCAAGGATGCCCCGAGGCCCAGTGGCATGATGCGGGAGGGCAGGATGCGGGAGGATCTGCGGCAGGAGGACGGGCAGACGCCGAGGTGGACAGCATCTCATTGGAGCCCTTCAATCATCTCGACCTGCACGTCTCGGATCCCAGTGTGAAGTCTGTGCGCGACGCGCTGGTCGCCTTCTTCAAGCCCGAGGAGGTGAACGACGGCCAGTCGACTCGCCAGCTCCACATAAAATCGTTGCCCAAGGCATTGATTCTGTGCTTGAAGCGCGCCACCTTCAACGCCAGCAAGGGCTGCGCTCAGAAGGTCAAGAAGTGCATACAGTATGATCAAAAGCTGTCATTTGACCGCAGTTGGTTCGCCGATGCTGATAGGCCACCACCAGAGTACTGTATCAGCGCGCTGATATGCCACCACGGGGACTCCGTCATCGGAGGTCACTACACTGCCTTCGTCCGCTACAGCCTCAGCCCATATCAAACCACGGAGCTCCGATCGCTGTCTCGTCCGATTGCCGATCGAAGACAAGAGGGAGGGGGGCTTTGGAAGTGTTGATAGCGAATAGCATGACCAGAGGCAGGCAACGGGGGACCTCCTTTGGGGCAAGACATGGGGGTCCTTGGAAATGTTCGCTCTCCGGGAGCAGCCTCGGAATTCGGCGAGCCCCTCCGAGATACCACAGTTCCTGGCAGTGCCCTTCCGTGGCGCCCTCCGTGCCCTGAGGCTACAATGCGGACTGGTACCTCTACGACGACACGACCGTACAGAAGGTGGAGGGCCGGGAGGTGGCCGCGCAGCAGGGCACCGCCTACTTGCTGGTGTACCTGGCCATCAGCTCCGTCGACATGACGCCCTGACCCTCCTCCTCCTCCTCCTCCTCCTCCTTCCTCCTCCTCCTCCTCCTCCTCCTCCTCCTCCTCCTCCTCCTCCTCCTCCCCCTCCTCCTCCTCCTCCTCCTCCTCCTCCTCCTCCTCCTCCTCCTCCTCCTCCTCCCCCACTCTCCTCGGCACTCCCGCGCGCGCTGCCCGCACGGGCGCCGGCGTGAGCCGCGCCGGAAGCAGGGCCGGGATCGGGGAGGCCGCAGCGACCCGCGATTCGCTTCGCCCGTGGCGACTCGCCCGCAGGTCTCGGGCCGAACGAAAGGGGGGGATTGGGAAAGGGGGGAATTACGGTAGGTTCGCGTCGTGTCGACCTTCGTCGACCCCGCCGCGGGAATTCAAGGTTGAACGCCGCTAGGGGCCCAGACTCGACCAACATGAAACGATTGGGCGATCGAAGAGCCGTTGATCGTTCAAGGTTGAACGATCTACGCAGTGTCAGAAACCACCGCCAGGGTCGTCACGACACGAACCTACCGTACGAAATTTGCTGCATGCAGCTGGTATCGGCCTCACCGAGGGGCCCAATCCTCGATACGTAGCTCCATCCGGCGCCGGGGGGCGCCGGGAAAGTCAGCTACGTGAGCCGATTCTCAAACCCCCCTTTTGCTATCCCCTCCTTTCGCCCGGCCCGAAGGTCGCTGCGCGCGGGAGGGAGGCGCGGGGCCCGTGCTCACAGCTGTTGCGCTGGCTTTCCTCAATCCTCTCTCATCTCTCAACTGGGATCCTCCTTGGTCCAGCTCCCTCCTCTGCCCCCCCTTTCTTATCTCCTCTCAAATTCTCTCCTCCTCCTCCTCCTCCTCCTCCTCCTCCTCCTCCTCCCTCCTCCTCCTCCTCCTCCTCCTCCTCCTCCTCCTCCTCCTCCTCCTCCTCCTCCTCCTCTTCCTCGTGCTGTCATTCCCATTGGCATCGCCCTCCTCATCCTCCCTCACCGCCCCTCCTCCCCCTCCAGCAACCGCCCTCCGCTGTCCCTCATCTCTCTCTCCCTCGCCGTCCTCCCGCCCGCACCCTCAATCCCCTCCACCTCGCCCCCTCTCTCTCTCTCTCCCCCTCCTCCCCTCCCCCTCTCCCCTCCCTCCCTCCCTCCCTCCCTCCCTCCCTCCTCCCTCCCTCCCTCCCTCCCTCCCTCCCTCCTCCCTCCCTCCCCCTCCTCCTCCTCCCTCCTCCTCCTCCTCCTCCTCCTCCTCCTCCTCCTCCTCCTCCTCCTCCTCCTCCTCCTCCTCCTCCTCCTCCTCCTCCTCCTGTCTCTCGTGGTGCCCCCCACAGCCGCGGGCCTGGCTTTCGGGTCGTACGCTCGGGCCTCGGGCGGCCGTTCGAGCCTCGCGGCGGGCATCGTCGCGCACCCCCGGAAGCGCTCCTGGGCGAGGCGCAGCTGCTGGAACGCACCCCGCGGCGGGAAGCCTCGTGGGAGCCCACGAGGGCGCGCCCTGGAGGCCTCGAGCCTCGACCCTCCCCTCTTCCCTCCGCCGCCCTCTCCGCCCCCTTTCCCCCCCCCCCTCCCCGCGATCCTCCCCTCCCCTCGCCCTCGGTCCTTCCCGCCCCTGGCCCTCCGCCGGCCCTCCCCCCCTTTGCTGCAGATGCGCCTCCTCCGCCCGCGGCTGCTCGCGCCGGGCCTCGGGCGGGCCTGGCGGGCGGTGCCCGGCCGACCTCGCAGCCGCGGGGCCGCCCGCGCGCCGGCGGGGCCGCCCGCCCGCGGAGAAAGCGGCGGCGGCGGCGTGGGGTGGGGGGCGGGGGGGCCGGGGAGCGCCTGGGGAGGTGGGCGGGGGGCAGTCCTCCTGCTCCTGCTGCTGCTCCTGCTCCTCCTGCTGTCGCAGCGCCAGGGCACGTGCCTCGTCTCTCTCTCCACCGTGGATGGCGTGTTTTGCCATCGGCGGGGCCCCAGCGCGCGCCATGGCTCGACGTGACCCCCCCAGAACTTGGCCGCCGGCCCTTCCGTTCTCCGACTGCCACAGATCAGGAGGGAAAAAACACACAGACACAATTAATCGTCGATCCCCCAGAAAATATGGGAAAAGTTGGAAAGTGGGGAGGAAGACAAAAACCAAGAAAATATAGGAAAATATGGGGAATATTTTTATTTGTGTGTATTTATTTGTGTGTCTCAGGGCCCCTTCAACAGAGCGCTCCCGGCACTGCGCCCTCCCCCCCCCGCGCAGTGCGCCACTGGCAGCGCCCGCATGGTGCACCAGAGCCTGTCAGCAAGGCACGGTCGCAGCGCTTGCGCACAGCAGCGCTTCGCAGCAGCGATCCGAAGCGCGGTGTTCGCAGGCGCAGTGGTGCTCACAGGCACAGTGGTGCTCACAGGCGCAGTTCCGCGCTCGCGGGCTGCTGTGGGCTGTGGCGCCCACAGAACTATGCCAGTGCTCGGGCGCTCGCAGACACATTGGGCGCCGGTGCTCGCAGTGCTCGCAGGCATGTTGCAAAGAGGAGAATCGGGAAGATCTGAAGGAGGACGGTCAGCCAGACGACCTAGTCGATTACCCTTCCGGTGTCGCTTCGTGCTCTGAGGCGTGCACACGGAGGAGAGGAGCAGGAGAGGGACGAGAATGAGAACGACGAGATCGAAGAGCAGGAGGAAGAGGAGGGAGAGAAGGAGGATGAAGACGTCGGATGTGGTTTCAAGCGTGGCCTTCGCCATGCTGGTGACTAATCGGAGCCGCTTAGCTTTGTGAAGAATCTTCAACCGTCTGGAGCGAACGACAGCAGCAGCCAGGCGATGACGCTTGGTTCCCCTCCCAATCCGCCGACCCAACCCGTAGTCCACCCCCACGGTTCTCTCGGTGCGAGCGCTGCGACGAGGTACACTCTTCCAACTGGCAGCCAAGCTCGACCCCACCTGCGGCCAGGTCTGCGCGGACGCGCTCTTCGGCGCCAAATCTCTGCAAGCCGATGCCATCCACAACTGCAGAAGCCGAGACGGGGCGCGCAGCTATTCGAGCCTCGTCCAGCGGCCGCACGAGGACGGTCTGCAACATCATGGTCGCGAAAGCACTGCCTGGGAGCACACTCTGCTCGGATGAAGTCTGCTTTGCAAAAAAGAGTGGCCATGTCAAGGAGTCGCGGTGGATTCCCTTCGGGGATCATTTGTTAAACCTGGAAGAATACAGAGTAGATTAGCATGGCCCCTGCGCAAGGATGACACGCACAAATCGAGAAGTGTATACAATCTTTTCCCCAAACAGCTTGCTGAACGGGGTGCTGTTGTGATAGAAACTAACTCCGGCCGAGGGAAGGCGAAGCAGAGACATCCTCACACAAATTTTATCGTTTTGGTCGTTTCGCTTGAGACATCCTCACAACTCTCGTTTCTGAGTTGGCGGGGATTGGCCGTTTCGCCTGAGACATCCTCGAAAAGTTGCGCTCCGGGACGCCGCGCGAGAGGTGGTCCGGGCCGTTTCGCTTGAGACATCCTCGAAACTCTGAGCCCCGAGGTGCCGTGCGAGAGGTGGTCCGGGCCGTTTCGCCTGAGACATCCTCGAAACTCTGAGCTCTGCGATGCCTTGCGCGAGGTGGTCCGGCCCGTTTCGCCTGAGACATCCTCGAAACTCTGACTTCGGAGATGCCGCGCGAGAGGTGGTCCGGCCCGTTTCGCCTGAGACATCCTCGAACTTCTGAGCTTTGAGATGCCCTGCGCGAGGTGGTCCGGCCCGTCTCGCCTGAGACATCCTTGCAACTCTGAGCTCTGAGATGCCGTGCGCAAGGTGGTCCGGCCTGTTTCGCAAAAGACATTCTCGCAACTCTGAGCTCTCAGATGCTGCGCAAGAGGTGGTCCAGCCTGGGGGCCCAGAAGACCACATGTTACATATCCTCCATGGGACCCTGCGAGCCTCAGGAGGCCCCAGAGAGGTCCAGGAGGCCGCAGGACGCCCAGGACAGGCCCCAGGGGTCTCCAGGAGATTCCCAGGAGGCTCCCAGGAGGCCCCAGGAGGCCGCCTATCAGAACGTGTCAAGTTAATTCACATCCGGTGTCGATTCGTTGATTTTTCCTGCTCTTGTGCCCCCCCCTCCATTTGGAGAGGCCCAAACGGCCACAGGTTAGATATCCCCCCTGGGAGCCCCAAGAGGCTTCAGGAAACCCCAGGTGGAGTTCACGAGGCCACAGGAGGCCCAGGAGGAAGCTCCAGGAGGTCCCCAGGAGGCCCCAGGAGGCACCAGGAGGCCCCCGCAACTCGGAGCTCTGAGACGCCGCGCTCGAGGTGGTCCGGCCCGTTTCGCCTGAGACTTCCTCGCACCACGTTTCGCCCGAGACATCGTCGCAACTCTGGGGTCCGAGATGCCGCGCGCGAGGTGGTCCAGCCCGTTACGCTGGAGACATCCTCGCAACTCTAGGCTCCGAGATGCCGTTCGGGATGAAGAGGAGGTGGAGGAGGAGGAGGAGGAGGAGGAGGAGGAGGAGGAGGAGATGGAAGGGAGAAGGAGGAGGCGGATGATGTGCATGAGGGAGCAGGCAGGAGGAGGGGGAGGCCCCAGAACTTCAGGAGGCCGCAGGACGCCCAGGACAGGCCCCAGGGGTCCGCAGGAGATTCCCAGGAGGCTCCCAGGAGGCCCCAGGAGGCCCCCTATCAGAACGTGTCGAGTTAATTCACATCCGGTGTCGATTCGTTGATTTTTCCTGCTCTTGTGGCCCCACCCTGTATTTTGAGGGGCCCAAGCGGCCACAGGTTAGATATCCCCCCTAGGAGCCCCAAGACGCTTCAGGAAACCCCAGGTGGAGTTCAGGAGGCCACAGGAGGCCCAGGAGGAAGCTCCAGGAGGTCCCCAGGAGGCACCAGGAGGCCCCCGCAACTCGGAGCTCTGAGCTCGAGGTGGTCCAGCCCGTTTCGCCTGAGACTTCCTCGCACCACGTTTCGCCCGAGACATCGTCGCAAATCTGGGGTCCGAAATGCCGCGCGCGAGGTGGTCCAGCCCGTTACGCTGGAGACATCCTCGCAACTCTAGGCTCCGAGATGCCTTTCGGGATGAATAGGAGGTGGACGAGGAGGAGGAGGAGGAGGAGGAGGAGGAGGAGGAGGCATGTTTTAACATGCCATGCCAGCCCGCACTGGACGGGTACGCAATCGACCGTGGAAACCGCAGTGGGTCTAAAAACCCTGTTTGGGGATACTGCACTCCGGGTATAATTTTTATGTCAAGGAGTCGCGGCAAGCGATGCAAATTGATGGGGAGGTTCATGAGGCGCACGAAGGAACGTGTGCGTGCCGCGGCGGCCTCGAGGTGGTGGTGGCGAATGAGTTTAAATAAGGAGGGGAAAAAACACACAGACACAATTAATCGTCGATTCCCCAGAAAATATAGGAAAATATGGGAAGTGGGGGGGGGAGACAGAAACAAAGAAAATGTGAGAAAATATGGCGAATCTGGTTATCTGTGTGTGTTTATTTGTGTGTCCCAGGGCCCTTTCATTAAAGGGGTTTTCGAGATCAACCCAATGGTGCCAGACGTCGAGCCTTGGCCATGAGCCCACTCCGCCCACGAAGCCTGCGCCCCAACGCACTTTTGTCGGCGGCCTTGCCACGGGTTCCCCGAGCCCCCAAGATTTTTCGCTGAGAGCCGCGCCCTGTGCCACTCTAGCCGCAGCTCGATCAGATGCAGCACGCCAAGGGAGTCGATGCCCTCGGGCCCGAGCCGCCACACATGCAGAGGGTCCACCCGATCCTGATTTTTTGCGGTGGTGGGCCTGTAGCTTTCAGGGACGCGCATGCGCCGAGGCACAGCGGGACGAGGAGGAGGCTCGAGGAGGGAGATGTCAGGCCACTCGAGCGGTGGGTGGCGCTCTGCAGCGCACCACCAGCCTTCCCCTTCTGCCCGCAGCTGCTCGGTCTGCCCAGCAGAGCCCAGAGGATGGGGGTGTCATCTGGAGCCCATCCGGCAGGCACCTTCCAACAACGGAAAAGGGCTGAGGCGCCCTGCTCCGCGCTGTGCTTCTCATCCTCCTCCTCCTCCTCCTCCTCCTCCTCCACCCAAGCCTCCCAACCCCGCTCCTTGGCACGCTGGCTGGCCTTGACTGCTGCGTCGGCCTGGCGCTGCGAGAGGACCTTGAACGCCTTCGGCTCGTGGGGCAACACTGGGGAGCTCTGAGGGACAAGCTTAGCAGACTGAGCAGCAAGAGAGCACTGCCTGGGCACAGATGTGGAGCGGCAGTGGCGAAGCAATCTACGGCGCCGAGCATCACCGCTCCAGCAACCTTCGAGATTCTGGAAATCCACGAGTTCCTGCGCCAGACCTTTCCACCCGACTGCCTCTGCACGTAGCTGGGCTCAAGGCACTGCACGTGGTCGTGGAGGACTAAGCGTTTTGATCTGAGGTTCAGCAGCTCGGCCGCGGAAACTCTCAGCACGCCCTGACTCCACATCACAACCATTAATCCATTTAACTTCTGCAGCGACCGCGAAATGCGCCAAAGCTTGGTCGACACTGGCGCCGGGTAGCCTCATGTCATCAGCTAGCTGGCCCCAGTTGGGTTCAGCAAATCGCCTGCAGCATCCTATGGGAACCGAGGTAGGGAGCTTCTGATATTGAACGAATGCGCGAACGTCAGGTGGTCGCCTCGAAACTTGTAGCTTGACCTGCACAGGACGATGCGGACTGATGGCCACGCGGTCGAGAACCTCCACAAGAGCGCCAGCTGCCAAGGAGGGGGACGCGACGGAGAAGCCATCACCCTCTCCGCGGGCCTCACCGTGCCCAGCCTGGGCGCCGCGAAGACGCCGCCGATGCCCGCGGCCCAGCCACTCTCCGCAAGCTCCTCGGGCGAGACTCGCCAGTCCACGCTGAGGATGAAGGGGATGTCTGCTCCTCTGACCTGCGGGCGTATGGAGCAGAGGAAGCGCCGATTTCGTTCACTGAGATCCTCAGAGTCGCGTGTATACATCGTGCCAACCAGATGCCCACCTGTGGGCCCATGTCCAAGATGCAGTAACGAAGCCTGTGCAGGGCAAACAAAGCTTTGGACACCATCAACTTCGCTGAGACCATGCCTGGCTGGGGTGGAGATCATAGTGCCACCTGAGTTAATATGTTTAACCTCCATCGACGTTGACACGATGAGGGGGATTGAAAGACGCTTTCCAACGTGAGTTACCGAGAGCTTGCTTTTTCCCAGCGCATTGCCGCTGCGGCACCTTGTGTTCCTGGATCAGAGCGAAATCACAAGAATTCCAGTATGTAGTTTGCCTGAGCACCTCGAGCCCAGGTGTGCTGATAACATTCGCCGTAAGGATGGTGAGCTGCCTCGAGGTTCTGCTGCCCCAGCGTTGCGGGTACGCGCAGCGGGCCGGTGCGGATCTTCTTGAGCGCCTGCCCGACCAGCTGCATAGCTCGATGCTTGACGGCTCCAGTGCTGTCACCATCGAGGTCCATGTCATCGTAGTCACCGATGGCACTCGAGCAAGCCTCGAGCAACTTGGCTTAGTTCTTGTATGCCCAGAAACGAGCGCGCTCATCAGCAGCAACCTCAGCAGGATCAACTGCAGGAGGTGCCGCGGCTGCGGCAGCGCCTGTGGGGCCCGCGCCCGCGATGGGGGCGTAGCCTCCACGGGCGCTGCTGGCGGTGGGCGGGGGGACCTGGGCCTGCGCGGCCTCCGCCCGGAGTCCCCGCTGGGCGAGGCGGAGCTCTTTGGCCGTGGCTGCGATCTTGGCCTCGAGCTCGGTGGCCCCGAGCTGCTGAGCGCGCTGGAGCAGCTGGGCGCATGGGCCACATGCGAACCCTACCCCCACCCCCCACGATTTCTTAGGGGGAGGGTGGGGTTCACTTGGCTCGGGAGCTCCTGAGCCAAGTGAGCCCCACCCTCCCCCTCAGGAATCGTGGGGGGTGGGGGTAGGGTTCGCATGTGGCCC